TAAATCAAGAGAGGTAGTGAAGATAAATTGTTTTAAAATCACAATATCCCACTCTTACCAATGACTCATTTATCTTAATATAATAATAACCCATATTAGGTGATGGAAGTATAATAAGAAATAAACAGGTAATCACAAAACACAAGTATTTTAAAATGATTTACTTACAAAAGTCTTTCAAACCACCTCAAAATTATATTACCGGAACCCGGTTATCACATTGGGACTGACAATCCTCCTCTAAGTGTTAACAGGAAAACAATAAAATTAAAATCACTTTTACATCACACATTATCTTCCCGTTTTACATCTAATACTTGGAGCTCCCTCTAGATATGACAATCACGTAGCTCCCCCTTCGTGTAGCAACTCCATTCTCCACTAAAACTCTTTAAATATTGGTGCCCTCTGATATTCAAGTCCATAAGTAGCACTATCTCTGGGATGCGAGTCCGAAGGAGATCAGAGCCTCTTGCATAGAAGGGTTGCTACCTCTGGGCTTTCTTCAATCGACTAAGTCAGAGAAGGGCTCAACTTCATCTTCACAAAATTCCATCGAAGTCCATGGTACCCTTTGATATGCATATCAAAAGTAGCTCTAGCTCTAGGAAGCTTGTCCAGAGGTCTTGAGAAGCTCTGGACAAGAAGGCTTGCTATTGTTTACCTTTAAGGCTTATAATCTTCAGAAAGGGTCTGGACTTAAAAGACACAGAATATTTCCTCCAGATTCTTTTCTTTACAATAATCTTACATTGAGGATGAGAAATTTATGCAGATTACCAAGTCTTTCCACACCCACCTCTCTCAACTAAAAAACACCTTTATTCTATTTATGAAAAAACATTCACATACAAAAACCTTTCCGATTACTCTAAACAAACCACCTTTTTCATAAAAATATAAGAGTAAATCATGCTTTTCGTCCCTATGGTTTGTTAAAACTTGCAATTTTCATTCGCACAGTTTAAAAATTACGAATTTCGTCCCTATGGTTTGTAATCCATTGCTATTTTCGTCTCTAGACTAATTCTTACTTTAAAGTACAAGGGACCAAAATAGTAAAATTGTAAACCGTAAGGACCAAAATATCAATAAACAGTAAATTATAAGGACAAAAATAATAATAAATTATGAATTATAGGAACAAAAATTACAATTTCTAAACCACAAGGATGAAAATCAAAATTATTAACAAAACATAGGGACGAAAATCATAATGTGCTAAAAAGTTATTGAAAAACCAACCAAATATACCCTAAACCTATATTTGGTTCTTTGATAAGTTCCAGAAGAAGCTAAATTTGTAGGGTTGCATATGGGTTAGTTAGCCGGGTTGAAGGCATTTGAACAACCTAACCTAATGTCTGCGACTTGAAAAATCTCAACTCAACCAAATCAAAACTAGAACTCAACCCAACCAATCAAAACTGCAACTCAACCCAACACAAACCGTTCGGGTTGGATTGGTCGGGTTGAATCGTTGGTACATCATTTTATAATCTAGCTAAATGTTTTGTTTAAACAAAATAAATCAAAATAAAAACATACAAAAAAGGCTAATAAACTCATAAAAAGGTTGAAATTTCATGCAAATAAGAAAAAAAAAATACGGTTGAAATTGTAATATAATTTTGAATGTAGCTAATTACGGGTTACTCTAATGTCTAATGTACATATCTATACTATATTATAAAACATTTGAGAAAAACTCTTAAAAATTATCTTTTATGCATGAAGTACTGTTTATTGATGCATATTACTTAAAATTCAAGATTACAAGTAGATTGTGCTTAAGTACAACTTATTAAAACTCTATCTTTGAATTCTTATAACTAACTGTAGATAAACATAATCAAATACAAGATAAACATCTCATTTTAAATAAAAAAATCTAAACTATAATTGTTATAACTGGGTTTTCTGCAAACCTAGTCAAGGTAACTCTATGTGTTTATTATGTGAATTATGTGATAGCATGCATGATATCTTAAAATATAAATGCATGAATTATGTACACATATGTGGTAATTTGATATTATGCATACATGTGAAAATTTTATAGGCGGTTATATGAATAATATAATATGTGGGATATTATTATAATCCAAACCGTCATGGTTAATAAATCATGGATGTTATAATGAAAAACCCACCACCCAAAGATATTTCTATTGGATAAAGGATTCACCGCCTATGAGTTTTATAATAATTAAAATAATCTCCACCGCCATGGTGAGAGTATTTAAAGAAAGAAAGAGATAAGATTCTATCTTATCACTTCATTTGGAGAAAAACCTGTTGAAAGAGAAAAAGAGTGTTGTGGCGGTGAGAAGTGTTCTTGAAGAAATCTTTTGTTCAAAACTGTTGGAAAGAGCTTGTGAATTGCTGTGTGTTTTAAAACTGCAGAATCTGTGATTATTAAGGTGAGTTTTAAAATTACTGTTTATTATAATATGTTGGGTTTTGATGATTGTGAATTTTAGAACAAATCTGGTGAATACTGTATTCTAAACAGTTTAAATCAGGTGTTTATGATTTTGGATTAAAAACTGTTTTGGAAAGATGAAACAGTTGATGTGCTTTAAAACGGATTTAAGAAATWAKATTMTRTTTTTAAAAAGGATTTAAAGGGAGTTTGATGTTTGGAAATCATGGAAAGAACAAGTTGTTCTTGAGTTTGAAGGTTTTAATGATAAAACTGTTTTGGAAACCGTTACTGGTTGAAAACTATGGAGGATATCTCAACAAGACGATTGTGATTTGGGTCTGTCTTCGTTTGGGATTAATCTATAGATTTTATAGATAAAACTATGAATGAGAATTCGATAAGATGGTTGTGACTACGGTCCTTCATCCGAACTAGTTTATAGATTTTGAAGAAGAAATAAGGGTGACATATTAAGGAGAGGTGTATTTTGGAATAAGGGTGACATATTAAGGAGATGTGTCTTTTGGAATAAGGGTGGCATATCAAGGAGAGGTGTCTTTTGGAATAAGGGTGGCATATCAAGGAGAGGTGTCTTTTGGAATAAGGGTGGCATATCAAGGAGAGGTGTCTTTTGGAATAAGGCTGACATATCAAGGAGAGGGGTACATTTGGATATAAGGGTGACAATTGTGTGTGAATATTATAGCTCTTACTATTATGTCTTTTAAGACTACAATAGATTTGAGTCCTTACTTCTTTGTGATTTGAGAACTCAAAGATATTGTTCTTATCATAAATAATAGTATTGATGTTATGGAGAAGGGAAAAACTTGGCCTATGGCCATTGGTATTGGTTAAAAGTGTTTTGGAACAGAATGTTCATTTTTATGAGAAATCAGAGGGGCTCTGGTTGTTCCTTGTAAGGAACCAGAGAGGCTCTGGTTGTTCCTTGTAAGGAACCAGAGAGGCTCTGGTTGGTCCTCACTATAGAACTAAAAGGTTCTGTTTATTGATTTGAGAAATATGCAAGTTCATACTAAATGTACTAGTTGGACCAGAGGCTCTGTATCTATTGATAAGAGCTTATGTGTCAAAATCATATTTTAAGAAGTTTTAAAAGAAAGATTTTATACTTAGAATCTTTTAAGAAAAAAAACAGACTAGAGAGGCTCTGGTTGGCTTACACGTTGAACTAGAGGCTCTGATTGATCATGTCCTTTGAACCAGAAACTCTGGTTAGTACAACCAGAGGCTCTGGTCGAGCATGAACCCTTTATAACTGTTCTTTTTATGAAAAAGGCTATCTTATTGGTTGGAAGCTTAACTAAAAGAACATTATAAGGAATGATATGAGTCAGAAGCTCTGGATAGTACAACCAGAGGCTCTGGTCAAGGAACCAGAAGCTCTGGTAGAAAGACCAGAGGGCCTCTGGTCCTGTCTATTGAAATATATTCCATGTATGGTTTTGGAACCAAAGGCCCGATGGACCGAAACATAATATAAATTTCAGCCTTTACTACATGGAATGAATTATTTAAAATTAATGTTTTGGTAATCTTCACACTGCATTACATAAAAAGGGAACCTCACTAAACATTCATGTCTAACCCTCATTTTGTGTTTTCAAATATGTATGCAGATAACGATGATAGGAAAAGAATATATTCTATGATTAGATTTATGAAGCTCATATCTGAATGAGTTTTGGAGAATGGATATTATACAAGAGCATATATTTTGAATTTTTGAGTTGTACATTTTATAGTATAGTCTCTTGTTTTATGGACCTATGTGGGGAAAACATGTATTATGTATATGAAATATGTGTTATATGCAATGTGCGGATTTGGGAGTGTTACAGTAATTAAGATAATCATTAAATTCTAACAGAATACTTAATTATTATCTTTATAAAAATTATATTATTAAACCTAAATTAAATTATAATTAAAAAAATTGAATTAAGAAAATTACATCAAACACAAAAACTTTTAGAAAGATTAATTTGATACTGATATCGATATATTTTTTTTAAATTTTTTATAATATTTTTAAATTTATGTTTTATTCAAAAATAAAAATATTACCACTTTCTCAAAACCTTATAAAACCGTATTATATCGACATAAAAAGAGAATAAAACGAAACACTGAAATCAAGATGTGCCTTGATACATTACACGAATACCTTTTTAGTATTAATAAAAGACTTTACAACCATATTAAATTTTCTATAAACAAAAGGCATTGAGTTGAATTGGGTTCAATTTATCCCAATTCAATTCCAACCCAATAAATAACCATGCCTCACTTTATATTGGGGTTAAGGTTTTTTAAGTTTTTTCCCCGTCTGTTAAGATCAAATGTAAACAAAAATTTGATTTTCAATTTTCGATTTTGTTATTTTTGGTTGCTTTCAGCGAAAAAGTGAGATTTAATTTCATCAGTGTACTTCCCTCCATTTTAACTACTACGTATTTGAAATGCTCGGATCGTCTTTCGTCTCCCAAAACCCACAGGATCAAGACGCCATCTTTTCGAATCGATCAACATTCTTTTTGAATCTGTGGTGATGTCAAAATCGAAGAAGACGAAAACCATCCATTCTTCACAATCCGGTTTCAGCTTTTCTCCCTTCAACGACGATGACGACGATTTTCAAAACCCAACTCAATCTTTGCCTCTCACCCAAAGAAAATCTAGCTCATCACAGCTACCAAAACACTCCAATGCTGCCATCAATCGACCACCCAAGAAGCCTAAAAAGAATCTGGCTTATCTTGGTAAGGAGAATCTTGAAAAGCCACCTGATTTGGGTTTGGGTTCGGGTTCGGGTTCGGATTTCTCTCTAGAATCTATGGAGTCGACTGTATTCCGCAACAATGTTAAGGGCGATGATGGTGTTTCATTTAAGGATGATGAGAAAGTGATGAAACCAAATGAGGGGCTTAGTTACTTGTCAAATTCGATAGAGTCTAGGTTGCTGTTGAGGTCAAGGGGTAATTGTGGTCTAAGTGATTGTGAAAATGCTGCTGTGAAGTCGGACGAGGGTGCGGATGAAAGATTTGACGACTATCAGGAGGCTGGTACTACACAGCTTGATGTGTTGCTTAATTTATGTTGTTCTTCTGAAAGGAAGGAGATCGAAATCGGTGATAACATGGATGTTGGTGATTCTATTAGCTGTCCCATGTGTGGAGTTGACATTTCTAACATGAGTGATGAGCTGAGACAAGTCCATACCAATGAGTGCCTTGACAAAGAGCAGGCTCAAAATCATGTATCATTCTCTTGCATCTGCATTGTTTCTTATTAATTGTATCATGTGTGTGACCTATTCATTTTTAAACAATTTCTAATGCTTAGATGTTTGGTTTGTTACCGTTTCCTTTTCTGTTGTTCTTGATTTTGGCTTTGCATGAACCATCATAAACTAGGAGATTCATAACATAGGCAAACACCAAAGTTCACATGAATTTGTTTACAATCTTTTCTGTTTCCGTTATTCAAAAGATTGTGAACATGGCAATGAAATACCTGTGTAAATTTATTTCTTATAATTCATCATAGGCTATTATTACCTTATAGCTTAAGTTCCATTGTGAATGATTTCTACTTTATGCAAACATGAAATGTATTTAGGCTATGCATGACACACATTTTCTTTATCTGCCAGTAGGACATGATAAATAGTTATATTTCATCTGGGAACTGATTTTCCATACTATGCAGGTAGATATTCCTGATAGTGACCATGTTATGGAATGCCCTGGGCAAGTTCTTGACGGTCCCCCTTCTGGAGCTCCTGGCCAAGTTCTTGATGAATCTTCTTGTCACCCTCCTGGGAAAATGGGTCACATCTCTCCTGTTGTAGAATGGTTGCACAATATGGGCCTATCTCGGTATGAAGAAGTATTCATCCGCGAAGAAATCGATTGGGACAGTCTGAAATGGTTGACAGAGGAGGTAAGCTTTGTACTATCTATGATCAGCTAAGTTGGCATCTTAATGTAAAATTTTATCTCAATGGGAAGATGCACAATTTTCAAACCATATCACTCAATATGCCACAAGTCTTTGTTGGTTCTTCATCTCAATGCATATACAGTTGCATTTCTCTTCTGTGAGTTTGTGAAGTTAAGAAATCAGTATCTGCATGTGGTTGTGGATGAGTTCCTTTGAATTTCAGGGAAAGAGAACAAATTGTTAGTAGGGTAAACTGCCTGCTCATTCTTTTGATCAATGTAACAAAATGATCGAGCAAAGAGCTTTTGAAAGAGAAGTTGGCTTAGTTAAGCAATAGCACTTTGCTGCCTTTACATATGGTTCACTTTACTAGGCAGTTTCATATTTTCTGTACATTCTCCAGTGCTTCTACTTCTGAATAACTTATGCCCCAGATGCTATAATGTTAAATCAATTCCTCTGTCATAATGTGAAGTTTTCACAATTCATAAGTTTGTGAATGTTGCTCAGTTGATGGTGAAGATTGGGATAAAAAATAAATTTCTATATCTCGCCATTGATTTTGGAATCTTATCCTGGCATGCTATGTGGTTGGTCTCACAACTCCAAATCAACCCCTGCCTTTATTTTAACAGAGATCACCTTTAATGATGATTTACCTGTTTGGTGCTGAAAAAGCTTCTTAGGCAACAAATTTCTTTGAACATGTAGGAATATATTTATAGCTAGTATTGTCAGTTTAGCAAACTCTTGGAGTCTGCCGCAAAATAGATTTCAAGTCATGAGCCACCTTGTGATGCTTAACCAATTATATTTGTTTCCAAAGTATTCCTTTATCATCCTACTGCCTTGCAATTTTGTTTTTCTGTCAACCTAAACTATTATTGCTTGTTGCTAAATTAAGTAAAGTTCCACTCTCTTTTCTTTTCCGGCAGGATCTACATAAGATAGGTATTACTGCTCTTGGTCCCAGGAAGAAGATTGTTCATGCTCTTAGTGAACTGAGAATAGAAGGTTCTGCGGAAATGAATATACCCGAAAAAGTCGCAGACAAGGAGAATAAAATAATCACAAATAAGCTGATTACAGATTTTTTTCCTGGCTTTGCTGGAAAAGTGAAAAAAAGTTGCATTACTGGGGCACAGGTTGGAAAAACCAACTCAAATGATGGTAATAAACGTGGTGGGGTGAAAATGCATTTCTCAAATAAAAAGCTCCGAGATATACCCTCATGGTGTTCAATAACTGGAACACCGTTCCGGGTGGTATGCTCTCTTACTGTTAGCCTGTTGCTACTTATGTCATGTCATTTATGTCATTTGTCAACGTGATTGTAGATGAGTTTTTTTGTCCCAAGTTCAATTACATGTTGATTTATTACTCAACAGCTTGAGCTACCTATTTAGTTATAAATTAAAAGCCTTCCAGATTGTAGCCTCATATTTTTCTTGATCACATCGCAATTACAGTGTCAGATACTCTATTTTCTAGATCATGCATCTTCTGGTTTATTGAAATTTAAAAGTTAAAGTACACTGTCAAATACTTCTATCAGTGTCTTAATTTTTATTCCCAAAGTTGTTTTTCACTGATTTTGATACTGCCATAGATTAAACTAATGATGCATTCGTGATTTCTAACTTTTCCTTTTCTACCAGGATGCATTTAAATATCTACAGAGGGATTACTTCTACTGGTTCCTTACTCACTTCCATATGGATCGTAAGTGCAATTTTATTTGTACTGTAATTTGCCAAATCTTGTTTCATGGATACAATGTCAAGGTCATATGGAAGCTTTTGCATGATATTTATTAACAACGCTCTTGGGGATATGAAACAATGACTGTACGGCATGATCTAGTTACTTCCATTGGTTTATATGATTTAGGCATTTGCTTCTCTGTTGCATAAAAACATGGCTTTCAAGTTTGGTGGTGAATTCTGCTTTATAGTTACGCTTCTACCTTAACTTAGTTGGGTATGAGCTCATGTTATTTGTTGACCACCGGAAGTATGGGATATGTTATATTTGGGTTTAACTATTTCTCACACATCCCTTATACCGAAACAAGGATATGTGGCATATGCCTATGGATGCAGCTTAGATCCACAATTGAGCTGATCTTAGTTTCATGTCTTTAAGTTAGAATAAATTGAAATGTAGTAAGGCTGAGGTTCAAAATTTGAAAATATTCTAAAGCTCAACAATTGTGGCCACCGGGTTTATCAGGGCTGATTTTTTGAGATCACAATTTGCCGGGTTTAGTTAAGCCTGGGACACCCTTCTAAGATAAATAAAAGCTGGAGTTCTAAGTGAGTTGACTGTTGGGTTAAAGCATAGTTGTGAAAAGTAGGCGCACCTAGGCACTGAGGCGCATAAGGTGTAAGCTTGTGGGCTTTTTGGATGTTGAGACGAGGCGTATTGAGGAGGCGCACTAAGGCGCTGGGCCTTGGCTAAGGCGCCGTAACTAGTCAAACAAACCTTTTGTCTATAGCCGCTAACCTGGACTGGCCTCTACACCAGTTGGACATCAAGAATGCTTTCTTAAATGGAAAACTAAAGGAAAAAGTCTATATGGATGTGCCCCCAGGACTGGAATCTGGCGAAAATCAAGGGAAGGTGTGCAAATTGTTAAAATCATTATATGGTCTAAAGCAATACCCACGTGCTTGGTTTGATAGGCTCACTCAAATACTAAAGAGAAGGCTTCATTCAAAGGCAAACTGACCACACAATGTTCACCAAACACTCCTCAGACGGTCGAATTGTTGTGATGATTGTGTAATGTGTATGTGGATGACACCATCATTACCATAGATTTTTTTCAAGAAATTGCCCGTCTAAAAACAGTTATTGGAAGAGAGTTCGAAGTCAAAGATCTGGGATGGTTGAAATACTTCCTAGGAATGGAGATCGGCAGATCAAAGAAAGGAATTGTTGTATCACATAAAAAAATATACTCTTGATCTTCTCTCTGAAACCGGATTTTTGGGATGCAAACCAACAAGTATTCCAATGGAACCCGCCAGCAGGTCACCTCAACCAAAAGAAGATGTAGAGCTAGTGGATAAAGGGAGGTATCAAGGGCTGGTTGGAGAATCAATATATCTCGTCCATATAAGACCATATATTGGATATGCAGCCGGAATGGTCTCCAGGTTCATGAATGGATTTTTGGGATGCAAGCCAACAAGTATTCCAATGGAACCCGCCAGCAGTTTTCCACTAAGCAAAACATGGATGCAGTGTTCCAGATCCTCCACTATCTTAAGAAAAATCCAGGATAGGACTTTTCTTCAAAAAAAAAACAAGTAGAAGAGACCTTCAAATCTTCACTGATGCTGACCGGCGAGGTCAAGAACCGTTGGAAGATCCACAACAGGTTATTGTACCTTTGTTTGGGGAAATATGGTAACTTGGAGAAGTAAGAAACAACAAGTGGTTTCTAGGATCAACGCTGAGGCTTAACTCAGGGCCATGTGCCATGGGATTTGCGAAGGAATTTGGATTAAAAGGATGCTCAAGGAACTAAGGCTTCTCAACAGGGAACCAATAAAGCTCCTATGCGACAACAAGGCAGCCATAGAAATTGCAAAAAACCCGGTGCATCACGATAGAACGAAACATGTGGAGATAGATTGACACTTTATCAGAGAGAAGATAGAAACAAGAGCCCTTGAGATCTCCTTCGTGCCATCTGAACTTCAAGTAGCAGATGTCCTTACTAAAGCTTTACTCAGGGGCAAGTTCGAAAAAATGATAAACAAGTTGGATATGGTCGACCTCCATACCCAACTTGTGGGGGAGTGAAGATTTTTTGGAGCTGTCAATAATTGCATCAAATACCTCGGGGATCCTGTCAATTAAGGGTGTTATCCCTGATTTCCAGCTTTCTGTTTTTATAGATTTTCTCTGTCATTTTCTTTAGTTGAAAGGATTCTCCTTATCCTTTCTTTGGTTGAAAGGATTCTTCTTCTTTTGTATAAATAGCCTTGCTTTGTATTTTATAATCAATAGGAAAATATATGAAAAGCCTTTTAGGCTTAACTCTGTTTGGTTTCTAGAATATGCTACTACTTATCACATATGATCCACTATGTGATATGATAATAAACGTCTTAATATAAGTGACGTATTATCACATGTGATAATATTTACGTCACAGAAAGATCTATAAATGTAAATATACATAATCACATATGATTAACAAAAGTATCTACAATTATCACATATGATTGATACGATCATCGAACAAATTATCATATGTGATAAAAACATATAATTATCTTTGTGATGAAATCAGTTTATTACGTATTATTAGAAATCGGTTTGGAAAAGAAACTCAATCCTGATGTATTAGGGATTATCATCACAGAGATAATGCTACCCTTTTTAATTTAATAATCTTTATTTTATCTATTTATTAAATAAGGTATGTGACCCATATTCTTTCTCTCCTTCTTGGAAATTGGTTTGCTTCTCTCATTATCCTCCCTCCCTCTCTCTCTCTCTCTATATATATATATATCCTCTCATAGATGTATGACATGGTATAAGTTTTATATCTCACTAGGCAGAAAACTTAACAATACCTTTTAGAATTATATAGAGGATATTATTGCCATTTTGTCCATTTAAATACAAAATAAAAAACATATAGAGCATGTTGGGATGAAAGCTCTTTGTTTGAAAACAAATGCTAATTTGTACTTTGATTTCCCTTGTGACTAACTAATATGTAGGACTTGCAAGATATTTATTAAATAAGATTGCTTAGTTCTGCTAAATTTGCTCCTTTTATGGCTACGGCTTATGTGTTAACTGCGTTGCTTGTAATTTGGATGCTTTTGCTGCTGCAGATTATCAAGGTCTTACAAAGGCTTTCTGCCATGGGAAGATTTACTGCTCTTTGATTACAGCAAAACTTGTAAATTTGAAGATTGGGATCCCATGGGAGAAGATTGAAGTTTTACCTCTCAACCAAAAGATAAACATTGCTGGAGTTGATGTGACATGCTTTGACGCTAATCACTGTCCAGGTTCCATCATAATTCTATTTGAACCACCAAGCTGTAAGGTGTGTTATTTTGACTATTGTTTTCTTTCGTCTATTTACTTGTTATAAGTTCTGAACTTGATCACTGTGTCTTTTCATGCATAGGCTATTCTACACACAGGAGATTTTCGTTTTTGTGAGGATATGACAAAGATCTCTAGTTTGCAGACACGTGTGCATACTCTCATCTTAGATACTACATATTGTGACCCTCAGGTATGCAAACAAAATGTTTCTAGTTTGGAGCTTTTGTCTTACGGTGAAATGTGAACTGAGAACAGTTTTGTTTTGCATGTTAATCTGAATGCATCTTGCATTTTCTGTTTTGTCATAGCTATGGTTGAAGCAAACTCAATGTAGGAATAGTTCTTGGCTGTAGATGAATGGCCACACAATGAGAGATATGATTAGAAATGATGATATCTGGAGGGAGGTGGTACTCATTTAGGTGAAGATGTGGCAACACTGGTTTGAGATGGTTGGTCATCTCCAATGTAGACCTTTGGATTCACCAATTACAAGGAGATTTGTAATATGGGGGTAATTTGTTCAGAGAGGTAGGATTGGCCAAGGTTATTGACATGTGTGGTAGTAGTGAATAGAGATTTGAATTAGCCGATTACACAAAAGGACTTGCCTTAGGAGTATGTGAATCTGTCACAGAGCCTAAGAGAAGTCCACCTATAGTAGTTAATTGATCCTATTTTTTAGCCCACACCAACCATAGTTGTTAAAAGCCAGGCGCGCCTAGGCTCTAAGGCTCAAGGTCTTGGGCTTTTATAAAGTCGAGGCTAGGCGTATTCATGAGGCTCACTAAGGCCATGCGCCTTGGCTGAGGTGCCTTGTGGGCCTAGGCGTTCCTCATAAGGAGTTATTAAATACCACGTCAAACCCCAATATTAAATAAGTTTTCTCATCTTCTAGACTTCTTAAAAACTGAGTTACTAAATAGATGATATAAGTCAAATCGTAATATTTTTAAGCACCTCTCTCTATAAATACTCATACCTCAAAACTTCTCCGTCATGGCTTGCGCTTTAAACCCTTCTCCCTTGTGCCTCTATGAAATACTGTTGGTTGCTGCATTGGAGTACTTGCTACATATTTGAGTTGTGTATAACTGTTTCTGTGTGTATATATACTTTTTTTATAAGACGCGCCTCATATTCCTGAGGCCTGCACTTCACGCCTGTGCCTTGCGCCTAGGCCCTGGGACCCCTTTGCGTCAAAGTGCGCCTTGAGCCTTAAACAACTTTAACACCAACTAGTTTGGGATGAAAGGCCTGTTGATGGTTATGTATTAATTCGTAAGTGATACATGAGTGAATGCTTATGAAGGAAAGAAACAGTGTGCAAGGGAGGCACTGCTAAGTTTTTCAATTTATTCATCGACCAAAGATAAAGTTTAAGATAAATAGAATAATGCCTATTTCTGGCCTTAGACCTTTTCCCTGGTTTAGGTAATCCTCACATTTTACTTCTATCTTATAAGGGAGTTTGGTTGATTTTTCGTTAAGTCCTGTATGGATAAAGTTGTTTGTGTGATTAATCTGTCTGTATAGATCTGGAAGGTTTTTTGCATAGGGAGAAAGAGAATGTTTTTGTAATTGGGAGGGGAAGGTTTGGAAACAAAACTTGGCTTTCTGCATAAACCTCCCCCACTAGAAGCTTACTGAATGCACTTTCTATATAAGCCACTATCAAACGGTCATACATGGCTGACCACATAAACTGTGATTCCCGTTAAGCTCATTAAGCTGCTAACAAACAAATGTTGATAACTGATCTGTGCCCTGGAGTCCTTTTCTCAATATTCTAGAGTTTGAAACTGTGGAATAGAAATACGTCTTTGAAGGGGGACACTTACTGGGGGATGGCGATGGGGGTTGCTTGATGTAGTTAGATGAAGTAAACATGTATTGTCCACTCATTGGCTATCTAGACAACAAATATCTGATAGTATATGTTCTTGGTAAACAATACTATTAACATTCTTGGTCTGCAACAGGAACTTTAGAAGGCTAGTAATTTATTTAATTGCGTATAACATGTGGTCTTAAAATCGCAGATTTGGAATTTGGTGCGTCCTTACAGAGTTTAGATGAGTTATCATATAATTTTAATACTTGCACACATTGAAAAAGGAATTTTTTTTGTGAACATGGAAAATACACGCATTTACACATGTCTGATGGTTGCTTAAGTTTATTAACAATCCTGGCAGTATGACTTTCCGAAGCAAGAGGCTGTAGTCCAATACGTCCTTGAGACCATTCAAGCTGAAGCTTTTAACCCAAGAACACTTTTTCTGATTGGCAGTTATACAATCGGTAGGGTTCTCTTTTTATTTAATTGATCACTTATTTTAAAAGGATATCATCATTCTTTTTCTTCTATCTAAAATAAAATAAAAAACAGGAAAAGAAAGGTTGTTCATGGAAGTAGCTCGTGTTCTCCGTAAGAAAGTATATGTTACTGCAGCAAAGATGCGGCTTTTAGAATGCTTGGGAATGCCCAAGGAAGATATGCAATGGCTAACCTTGGATGAAAGTGAGAGCCACATTCATGTTGTGCCTATGTGGACACTTGCAAGCTTCAAAAGATTGAAACATGCATCTAACATGTATATGGTAAGAGGTTCAAATTTGAAGTTCTTTTTCACATGCTAATTGAAAAACGTCACCTAAATATAGAAGAGGCAAAGCAGAAAGCACCATAGAGAGAACAAAATTTGGAGTAAAAGATGGCTGACCACTGATATGCTCTAAGACTATTTTACAGTAGACCTAATCATCTCGATTCTCAAACCCAAGATGACAGCCATAAAAAAGAATACAAAACATGACATCAAAAATACGCTCGAAACTTGTTGGATGATACCATGTCCCTTAAGTTGCTCCCTTCCTAGCACTATAGAAACATATTGAAGGTGTCTTCTTGATTCATAGATTTGATCCATTGTTGGAGAAGGAAGGTACACCATTTGGGTGCTCACTTATTGGCTTGGGTTGTTTTCATTGCCTTTCAAGATATTTTCCCTTCCATTTGTAATTGTTATTTTCCTTTTCACTTTCTTGATCATAGAAATTAAGAAGCCTAAGCAAAATGCATGCTTGAACTAATAAATGCTCCCACTGAAAACACAATATCTACCCTGGCAACTCTTGCTCATGAAGAGATTTAGGGCCATTTACTGAACAATTACCGGGTAAGCGCTTACCGATATTACTTACCTTACCCATTGAGCATGGAAAAGATCGAGAATCTTATCTGGTAAGAGGCATAACAAGGACCGAGAGTCTTACCCAGTAAGTTGAGGGAAAAGACTCTCACCCGGTAAGTGCTTACCGGGTTTAACAAACAATCCATTTTGATGGCCGAGAGCGTTACACGATAAGATAAGTGAGGGTGATGTTTTTGGCCTGTAAGCACTTACCCTTCTGTAAGCGCTTACCCTGTAAGACCTTGGTAAATGGCCCCTTAGAATTTCTCGTTTAAGGTTGAGATATATCTTACTTCAAAATTAGTAACATCTTTCGGATGAACATGAACATTATTTGGTGTTAGTCAGTGCCATTCAAGTATGGACAGCTCTCAAGGTTTTAATTACACATATTGTATAGGCTGTTGTATGAAAGGGACATCATCCTACCATACAATTACAAGCCAAAAAAGTAGGTTATGAAAACATTCATGGGTGTTTCTTATTCCGTACCCATTAAATGCTTATAATAGCATTTACCAGTGCAACATAACTAAGTTTCTAGACACTGCAGTCCTTCAGTCTCAGAAGTAAATGTCAAGCCAGTGATATGTTATCAAATGTATTCTGAGATTCTAGAATGGTACAAAGGTCAATGGGTATCATTGATAGTACTCCAAAATCATATGCATCTTAGTTTTTGTGTCAAAAGATTTTCAAAGAAGGGCCTGGGTCTTCATAGAAACACCCGCTCTACTGTTTTGGGTGGAGAACAGGTATGTGTCCATCCAACTTGATGACCTTACTTTTGAGTGAGATATATTGGTTTCTTTCGGTTTGGTTTGGTTTGGTTTACATTCATATCTGATTCCATTACACATGAAACAATATTATCAATCTGTTCAACATGATGTCTGCTGCATCATTAAGTTACCACCTACACCAGTACAAAGCACGTGGTCACGTTAGCATTTTCAAGTACCCTAAAGAGAGCACCAATTTGGATGTTATCTTTATTGCAGTCAGTAGTTTACCTTCAATAAGTTCACCTTTTGGCTCTTTTATACAGCACACAAACATATATCACATTAACTAGAAATGTTGGTACAGATGTTCCATGATCATAACAGCTCAATGTTGAATGACTTCCATGTGCTCCTATTTATTTTGCCATTTTTTTTTCATTTATGATAGATAGTATTGTTGTTCAGGGTCGATACAGTCTTATAGTTGCTTTCTCTCCAACTGGTTGGACTTTTGGTAAAGGAAAGAAATCATCCCCAGGGAGAAGGTGGCAGCAGGGAACTATTATAAGGTGATATTATGTGTATCCAATGCAACTAATTTAAGCTTTTTTTTTACACTTGTTATACTAAGATCTCGTCTCAAAACAGCTAATTTTATCTTAAATTACATGCTGATGTTGGATATACTTGAATTCTTTTTCTGGTGCTGCTAGTTGATAGCATTCTCAAAGTGAGTTTGTTTGTAATAGTAGATCAATGGCAACAATGTGCCACTAATCTGGTTTGTTTATTCGACTCCCAGAGTGTGGATCCAAGTGAAATATAAACTTTTAAGCATTAACCAATGTTTCTTTAATAAGTGAAAGTGAGCAAAAGCCATAATAATCAAGTTGCATAATCTTTTGATCATGAATTAGTGCAATATTTTGTAGGTATGAGGTGCCATACAGTGAGCATAGCAGTTTTACAGAGCTCAAAGAGTTTGTCAAGTTTATATCGCCAGAGAACATCATCCCAAGTGTAAATAACCATTGCCCAGAGTCTGCAAGCAGGATGGTTTCTCTTTTATCGTCTTAATTTGTTATACCAATCTCTCCCACGATCAAATCACAATTTTCCGTTGCTTCCAATGTGACCGGTTACATGAACTATGTTTAAATACTGAACTCCAAATTGCACACAAACTAAAAGGAGCGCTGCCATGGTGCAAGACGCATCTCTGATGTAAGCTAAGACATGCTCCATGGTGTCTTGAGGCATGTCATGGGGCAAGTTTCTTTGAAGGTGGTGTTTGACTTTTTAATCTTTACTTTTTAGGTTGTCTTTCTTTAATCTTTTATGAGCCTTGATATAACAAGTTTCGTAAGCTCTATGTATATGTGTTCCAGTGGCCAAATGTCAAATATAAAAATATGTATGGGGAATCTAAACAAATCAATCTATGAAATAGTAATTGGACGAAAATGTTGCTGAATGATTTTCATTAATCACAAGTATGGGTTACAATGTGATCTAGTTACAAGAATGTATGAGAGAGACGAGATCTAGGGATAAACACTTTTAGTTACAAAAGATTTCAAGGAAAGTTACAATCAAAAGTTACATTCAAAAGATCACAAGAAAGAATAGCTAAACATTTTTATTTATAGCCAGATAGGAGAGATGGTTAATTTAGTTAACAAAGGTTTGAAAGGATTCTGACATATAGATGCTTGAGATATAACCCTCGACAAATCTTCAGAAAAAGTCCAAAACTCTAAACTTAGGCTCAAAGACCCACACATGGACCAATTCATCAGACTTTGAAGCCTTTGATCTTACTTGGCCTTTGAACTCGAAGCTTCTAACTAGACTTCACTCTTGAACTCAAAAGGCTTTGACTGTTAGGCTCATAAGCATACGATCTTCAACACTTGGCATTTTTCCAAGCATATATTTGTCAATACTTTTTCAACTTTACACGAGGGATTCAACAATCTCTCCAAGTGTTAAACAACATATCAAAAAGAATAAACACCATATACATCTTGAACTTTGATCCATACAACTCTTAGGAAATCTTTAAATTTAAGAGTTTCTGATATGATTGATATGTTCTTTTCTTGATTGTTCTGTTTGAGTTTTTCTACGTTTCAAAATATTTTTCACAAATCCATCTCATGGTAGATCAAAGTATTTGTAAGATTCATGGGGCTCTAAATAGCCTTTTAAACTTGAATTCATTTCTATAAACTATGCCCAAATATGGAGGAAGAATTATTTTGCCTCTCTTGGTTCCTTCCAAATCATCACAACCTTCATGAGGTGGTTCAAACATTCTTTGAGTATTTTTTGTTCCTTGATGAATATCTTCAATCCCGATTTGACCTATCTGTTAATATATGCACCAACTCTGTCTTCATCAACTCTTGAATGGAAAAGGGCAATATACCATTGAAATCATAGGGTGACATTTTGAGAAAACCAACATTCGTGACTTTGTATGTTTCTTATTCATTCTTAAAAAACTGATTCCATATAATACATGTGGTCCCGTTAAGGTCTACAAGATGTGTATAAACAATTTGCAGAAGGGGGGGGGGGGATGAATACAAACACAGTTAACTTTTCAAATTTAAAATATATATTGATAAAGAAGGATTAATACAGATTTTACAAGATTGTTTGCGGAAAAGATAAGGTAAAGATAACCTATCTAAACAATCTAAGTTACACACAAGTTCTTAGTAAGGAGAAAATGATTTGCTGTTTAAGACTTATAAGAAAGTAAGTTCTTTCTAGGCAAGAACTATTTAGAATACTTAAAAGGGATTCTAACTTGCTTTTGAAGATAAACGTATTGTGTTCTTAGATGTGTGTTCTTTCACGTATGAACGTAAGAGTTAGGGTTCAAGAGTAAGAGTTATCTCTATTTATACCCATTGCATTAAATGCACATTTAATGCAATGCAGTAGGATTTGAACACGCGTCAAGCGTTTAGAGAAAGACTTGTCCTTTGCCATAGTGAATAGTACAAAAGCCTATTCATGAGCAGACATCATTTCATGGAGTTGGTGGGTAGTAGAGTCAACTAATCAGCTCCGTACCGTATTATACTCTAGAAAGGGTATGTTTGTCCTTTGTGTGTGGAAGGACAAGACAAAAACAATCTTGCTTAACAAGCTTCTTTGATCGCTGAATGCTGGAATAACGAAGGTCTCTTCAGCATTTGCTGAGGCTTGGGCAGTCTTCACATATATGTAGACTAGGTTGTAATCACTGAATGCCGCTTCAGATCACGAACTCGGCAGTGTCTAATCTTCAGTTTCACTCTTCAAATTTCGTTGAAGGTTCTTTGGTCTGAGTTTTGTCTTCTTGAAGTATCACCGTCGTTGATGGATTTACATTACATGTTTTCAGCGATCACTGAACAGACTCAGTGATGATCACTGGAACTGAAAGATAGAAACAAAAATACTTCGTATAAGGTAGAAGGGATTATCATTAAATCACTGAGAGAGAGGATCAACAATATCCCCCTATTTGATAATAACAAAGCAACATAATGAAAGTTGCCTTATCAAATAATAGTAAGGAAAAGTTACATATAAAGAACATGTCCCTTTTAACTGTTTTGGGATCTTTTTCAGTGAGTCAGTCTTTATTTAGTAAATTTTCTGAAGTTATAAGTTAAAAAAAAAATAAAAGAAGGGAAACTGAAACTGAAAACATGTTCACCGACTTATAGATTGTTAGTGAATGTAAGAGTAACACTGGAACTCATAGACTTGTGTCCCTATTACTCTTTTCAGGGATCTTTTTCAGTGATACACAAAAAATGCTTACATTAATTTCAAATGGAATTATTACAAGTCGTTCAGTACATGTCTAAAACTTACAAAATATAAGATTGAACATTGAAGGTATACATAGAATATAGGTTATACAGTGAATGGACAAATTACAATGGAAAGAAACTAGTCTAAGTCGCTCAGCTTAATGAAGCCAGGTACATTTTCTCCAAGCTCCTTTCCACGTAGAAACTCCCTTCTGATCTTGCGGTCCATCATTTCACCTTTGAAGTCTTCATCTAGCCAGAACCTAAGATATCCGAGGTGTTTCATAGGGCATAGATGTAACTCAGACATTCTTTGAAATCCCACTTCGCCATCATATTCAAGGAATATAAGTCCTAACTCAGGCTTCACATGCACAATGTTGGGTATATAAGGACCCTTCGCTAGCAGTGAGAGATTCAACATCGATATGTCTGGCTTCGAAGCCCTCAGGACTTCATCTAAGGAGAACTTTGTTTCATGTTCGTTCCTCAAGGATGGTCCATCATTAGGGCTTGAAGGCCTTTTTCTTCTTCTACCTTTCTTCAGCGTTGGCCTTTCAGGGACTGCGACATACTTGGACACCTTCTTGATCAACTCGCTAATGATGTCTTCAATAATCGGCTTATGTCTGGACTTTTAGCGCTGAATGGCTTGTCGGATCTCCAACCATTTGCTATAGCCATATTTGCCAAGATAGGAAGGTTACTCGGTGATTGCTTCGAGATTATCCCTGGTGATGAGCATGGAGATCAGCATCCCACCATCTTTCATTCGTCCGCTCATGTTGACGCTTGTAATTGGATTAGGGTTGATCCTCTTGTTAAGGCTAGCTTCGCTCTAGCGCTTGTCGTGTTCGGCCAACTTTAGATTCTTTTCACGTTCAGCCTCTTGAGATTCCCTTCTTCAGCGACACCTTTTCTTTTGGACTTGGTGCCCTGGTGCGATTCTTGAGCAGCCTCTTCTCCCCTTTGCTCCCCCTGGGATGCGAAATCCCTGAGGGTGACACCTTTAGTGGCAGTGGAAGGACGCTGGTACTGGATGGTGAAGTCGTCTTCTTCGTCATCATCATCGTCGTCATCCAGGTCGCTGTTGGAGTCAGGGAGGTTAGGAGATTCGCCTTCATCATTATCATCATTGTCTTCTTCCACATCACCAACAACATGTGCAGAGGTGATGGGAAGGTCATCGTCACGAGCTTCAGCTCGGACGACATCAACTTCCTCAGCTGCAGGAGTTTCACAGGAGGTTGGGATATCATAGACAACCTCAGCGTCAGCTTCATCTCTAGGAGCTTCAGCTTTATGGGTTACTGGAGCAGCAGGTTCAGCAGGGGCGGCAGTAGCAGATGGTCCAACATCAGACCTTATCTCCCCCCTCTGGCGATGGCTTGAGAGCAAAAGCTAGAGAGTTGGTCGACGCTCTGAATCTGGAGGACCGTCATCTTCTATAGCCTTGTAAGAGCATTGGCTAGGCTAATCATTGCTTCATGCACTTCATTAAGCTGAGCGCAGTCATCAGCGGTAAAGGAAGGAGTAGGCACTAGTACTAGCCGATTGAGAGTGACCAGAAGTTGTTGCAGCAGCTCCACTTGCTGGACATTCTGAGCATGTGCTTCATCGGCCTTGCTCGTGAGAGCAGCGATAGCCTCAACATTTGCTTGAACGGCCTCTTGGAGAGAGGAGAGCTAACCTTTCACCTCTTGGACTTCAGCCCTGACGGCTGATAGGTCAGCAGCGACTTCGTCCCTGCGAGACATGTCCTTATGGACCTCATCCATCTTGATGAGGACAGTCTCAACTGCTGGGAGGAGCAGCTTCACGTCCGTTGCTATATCATAGTCTTCTTCATCCATGGCTTGGGCCTTAGAAGGACCTGAAAAGGAGTGAGAATGAGCATAAGGAAGCTCAGGGTTAGAAGAATGAAATGGGTAGGAAGATGGAGTACCTAAGGGGTCTTCAGCGTTATCTGAAGGATTAACGCTGGTTGGATCCATGGTGCACTCAAAAGGATGAGCACCAGTATGCTGAGGAGCTTTGAGAGGAGCTACTCAGGTTCAGTGGTGGGTGTCTCATCATCAGGGAGGAATGGCACTAATGATTCACGGACACATGTTGAGACCAATAATGGAGGGGAGGAGAAGATGGTTGAGACTCGAAGTGAGTGCTCAGCGGTGGCAACGCTGATATTCACACCTTCAGTGATTTGGGTCACTGAGGTGGTTGGGTGAGGAGCCATTGGTACAACAGTGATCTCAGATATCACTGAAGAGCTGGGAAGGCTGACTAAAAGTGCCTCGATTGAGGCTTCTTTCAATGGCTGAGACCTTTTGAGAGGTCACAGCTAGAGATGAGGTAGTCCCCTTTTTGGCCTTCTTGGTCCTCGAAGGAGAACCAAGAGTTGGTTGAGATGGGCGTTTGGTAGAAAGGGTTGTGGTGGTTGGGTTAGACTTCGGGGGGAATTCCCTTGTTTTCACCACCTGGGGATGAGAAGGATGAATTTAAGAGTATTGCACCACTAACGAGAGTGAAACATCTCCATCCATGAGCTTGTGATCCAGAATCCTCGAT